TGGCTAAAATTACAATACAGAAGTAAAATGAGAAATATAATTATCACTGTGTACTGAGGCACTTGGAAGAATACTGTCTCTTTGTTCTAAGAGATTAGTCTCTTCTAGAGTAACTCACTAGAAATCTTAAAGTCACTTATATGCCTTTGGTACTCTGTAATCTAAGTAGATTTTCCTATAGCAGGTACATTAAAAATGTGAGAATAATCCTACTGGACAGTGGCATACTAGCTTTCTAGTGGGGGAAACACCCTGATTTGTAGCATTGGCCAATTTCAAGCTACCAGGTCTTTTTTTTTTTTTTTTAAATCAGGAACTCAGACTCAGATAGACTCTAAACCAAAAGTAGAATGATTTCTTTGTGTGAAATCTTGCCTCCACTTTCACATTCTCCTTCTCTGATCTCAAGCACTGTTACTACCTAATCAATGGTTCCCAAACCTATTATGTAGATCAGAATCACTTGGGAAAACCTGTTGAAATATGAAATCTCACAGCCCTGCCCTAGATCTATTGAGTCAGAATCTCAAACAAGGATGGAGACACAAACCATATTTTTTTTTTAAAGCATCATTGGTGATTGTGAGTCAGCCTTTTGGTCTCCAGGCTAGCATTTGAGAACCACTACACATACTATTCCTGTTTCTAGAGTGAACTCTGTTCACTTTCATTCTTGGACGAAAGACTGTGAGCTAATATAAGTTAATCTACTCACTGAATTAGCCATATCTTTGACGGAAAATCCTAAAGAATTACTAAAACTCTGGCTAGACTTGTTTTTCCTGACTCAATGATAGATATAAATGCTGGTAAGCATTCATTCAGTTATCTTCTCCCACTTAAGAATGTCTAACTCAGAACCTCTGCTTTTCACCAAGAAAATTTCTGCCAGCATTTATTATAGAATGTCTGTTTTTCATGTAACAGTTTCAAAATAAATACCTAGCAATTCCATTCAGAGAACTCCCTCTTATTTATTTAGTATACAGATTCATTTACCATAAATATCTCATACTTTAAAGTGAATTATTATAATGAGTTTGGAATTTATAATCAAATTAGCTTACTACTACATTGACAATTTACTTTTGCTTCCATGTTTACATATTCCAGAACATAGCATTAAACTACTATAAGTATGTTGTGTGTTTTAAAATGATTTAAATAATCATTTAGTCTAATTCTTCATCAAGTCCAATCCCCACTTCCCCATCCTTTTAACACCAAAGTATATGTTAAATTTCAATGGATAGGAAATTGATTAGTTTTATGGAATATTACCAGCTGTTCCATGACACTTTTCTACAGAAAATTTCCCTTACTTTAGTGGGACACTTAGTTTGAAAAAATGCTTTGTAGAACAGAATTGGCTCTTTTTTTAGGGAACAGCCAGTTAGTAACTTTACAATAAACCTATTAACTTTTATGTCAAGACATATTTTTAACTATTGCATAGTCTCTCTCCATATTTAAAGAAAATCAGCAAATGGAAAGGAAAGAAGAATTCATTCCCTGTCAGAGAGATATAATGCTTGTACCTCTATTTAACAATTTTTTCATTCTTTATCTTCAAATTCTTTGAAGTAAAATTTTTAAATTAATTAAATCGAGAATACTGTATCACAATGACACCTTCCATTTTCCGTTCTTTTGCCTGTAAATGTCCAAGTTCATTCTAGTCCATCTCAGAAAAGAACTGTTCCCTAAGGATCACTGACATTTCTTCCAGTAGTAGCTTAGTGGGATTTTCTCTTTAAAATTATAATTTTAGCAAAGCCACATGAGTTCATTTTATGTCATATAAACAACATAGACATCTTTGTTTTATTTTGGAAGCAACTGTGAATGATTTCAGCATAGAATCAATATGAAGTAACTGTTTTTGAAAAGCAAACTTTAAATAGAACCAGTGACTTGGCAATAAGAGTTGGGAAACTTTAATCTCAGTTTTTAAAAAAAACAGCATATAAAACCAGAAGATTAAGAAGTAAAAGAGATGGATAAAATACATGTATCATAATGTAATATTCATATGAGGACTATCCTTTAAAAAGATTAAACATTAAAATACCTAAAAGGAGATATTTTATGAATTGATGAATAATAAAGGTTAGTCAAATTTGGGAGCAGAAGTGTAAAAAGTCATGAAATTCTCTAAAATGTCTCCAGAACAAAAAGTGTAATTCACTGAATAAACAGGTAACATACCATTCTGCCCTTAAGGAGGACAAGCATTAAATAATCAAGCAACTGATTATAAAATATCAAAACTCTCAGAAAGTCTAAACAAAATTAGGTGGGTTACAAAGAGAGCTAGCATTTGTTGAGGGGCTTCTATAGGCCAGACACTGTGCTGGGCAGTTTATGTAAGTTATCTCATTTAGCAATCTTTATGAGTTAGGTGGTGTTTTTGTATTTTACAAATGAGGACACCAAGGCTTAAAGTGCTTATATAATTTGTCCAAGTTCAGACAGCTGGTCAGAGGCCGGGATTCGAACCCAGGTTTGTCTGACCCCAAGACTTTGATCCAAAGACCTATAAAGATCCAAACAACTTGATTCCACACTGTGACCTAGTTGATGAAAACAAAATGAGTAAAAGAGCACAAATAATCAGAAATTTTATATGTATATTTTATATAAAAACAACCAAAAATAATTTTTAAAGGACCTAGACTTTTTAGATTATGGCATTTGGTTTTAAGTAATTTAAGGCATTTGCCTACTGATAACTAGCCATGTGAAGTTTGAAACTAAAGAACTGCATCTGTCTTAAGGAATCGTATTATAAGAAAAGCGGAGGTAAATGGAGAGTGTTTCAGATAGATCAACAGAACAATCAGGAAAAGAGAGAATCTAATGAATAAATATGAAAGAGGATAAATATTCTCAGATCAACTAGGAGACTGCTCAGGGAGAATACAACATTCTACACATACTCAACAGGTATAAGGGGACATAGGGAGTGGCAAAGAATAATTTAACTTTCCTAGAACAAAGAGTCATAATTAGATATAATTGGAGGAAAGGAATTGAAAATTGACTAATGAGAAAAAAGATTTGCTGCCAGTGATAGGCATTTATGGGTGGGGAATGTCCCATGGAGTTAGAATATAGAACTTTTATTACAAATAATAAATAATAATACTCAATTGAGTGAAGCACTGAAGGCAGGAAATAGTCTTGCACTCATGTAGGGAACAGTCTTGCACTAGGAAGATCCAGAATATTCTGTTCTGTTTGACCATTTCAGTTTTCTGTGCATTTGTTATGTTTGTTTATTTGTTCTATTTGTTCCTTTTTTTTTAGTTTAATTAGGACTTTTATTCTTTTTTTTTTAAGGAATCTGGAATTTTATTTTTATTTTTATTTATTTATGTATTATTGAGTTATAGTCATTTTACAAAGTTGTGTCAAATTCCAGTGTAGAGCACAATTTCTCAGCCACACATGAACATATACACATTCATTGTCACATTTTTCTTTCGCTGTGAGCCACAACAAGATCCTGCATATATTTCCCTGTGCTACACAGCACAATACCATCCATCTATTCTACATTTTGAAATCCCAGTGTGTCCCTTTCCACCCCCCGCCCCCCTATTTGTTCTATTTGTTTCTTAGTGTTGCAGTGTTGTGGTACTAGGATACTAAAATAAATAAAGTGAGCCTTTTAGGAGGTTCATCAAAATATAAAATCATTTCCTGGTTGTCACTCATTGAGAGGCACATTTATTCAACAGAGATTAAGTCCTGAAAATGGGTCAGTCATGTCCTAGGTTTTGGGGATACAGTAATGAAAAGGCTCTCCTACCTTCTAAACCTTCACAATGTGCTATAGAGACAGCAGTGAGGTGAAAATCATAAAGACATTACACTTGAGGCCAGAACACTATCAATCATTAAGAGATATTTATTAAGTGACTATAATTAACCCATTTTTTTTTTAAACTCAGCACAGATTTACTCAGTGCCTACCACGTGGTGGGCCTATCCTACTCACGATATATACAACAAAACAGAAGTCCCTACCCCATGGGAACAGGCTATAAATAAATTTATCCAAGTAAATATGTAATTAAAAACTGCACTAAGCGTTATTAAGAAGAAAAGGGTACCATGACAGATTATAGCAGGGTCTAGCTCATCGGTTCAATGGAGATAAAAATGGAGTCAATAGGGGTTCTTTCCCCAAAGGAAAAAGGAGCTAGAGGTACTTCAGTTCCTGACTAAGTGCCTAGATGGATGGTGCCTGAGTGGACTGGGAACATAGAAGGCTGTCTTAAACAAAGAGATAATGGAGCATAATATTACCAAATTCTCCCAAGTAAAATATAGTGTCCAAAATTATACCAAAAAGTTTTCTCATAATAAAATTTTTCTGTACACTCAAAAGTACTTTCTTCAGTTTTAACTGAAGTGGCAACTCAGGAATATAAAATTGGCTATTTGGCTGTCTAAGATCTCTTAGATACACCCAGGACTAAATAGTAACTGGCTTAGTTACAACTAGTAAATAGGAAAGGAATGATATAGAAATCAAATTGAGGGTCTGAGCAGTGGTCACGTAGTAAAGCATTAAAAATAACAGGCATGACTTTGGTATTTATTTGCATTACTCATTTGAAAGTTTATAGAAGACAGATAGGAAATACCTAATATTTATTTTTTAAAAGCATTCAATAGAGGCAGGAATGACTAGATTTCAAGCATAAATTGATCTCTTTCTTTTGTGTGGGATGTACAACTAAGAAGACATTGTATTTCAGTAACTGAAAGGCACATCTTAATTTAGATTATTTTCTTATTAAATTTATTCTAGTGTAATTTTTAAATTAACATATACTTTGAATATTGTGGAACTAGCTATTTTTTAACACAATGTATATAACATTTAAGGATGCAAAGAAAAATGCTCCTTAGGAGAGTAGAGAGGTAAATCAAATTGTCTTTGACAGAGTAAAGTGCATTTACAATTTTTTCCTTTATTTTTTTTATAGCTATTCATCCACTAGCCAAAAAAAAAAAAAAGTTGATAGTAGAAGGAAAGGAGAAAACAGTACCCAAAAAAGGTAGAAGACTTCATTTTATCTAACATTTAATTTCACACTTAATATAGTAATAACAGTTCATACTGTCTCCTTTCTGTTTGAAGCTGCATCTCAAAGTCATCTCCCTTTCCTTCTAAGAAATTTGGCAGAAAACTGGGCAGCTTTCAAGATGGCTTTGATATTAAAAATTCCCCATCAGAAATTCTGTAGAGTCTCGGCCTTTTCAGGAGAAAACAATGTTGGGAGGCTGGGAGGCACTGCTGAAGGAGTGGCCACTGAGCCCTGGTGAAAGGGCTCAATAGCAGCTTCTTTCCCAGTGGAGAGCCTTGAACTTTGAGTTCTGTTTTTAGAAAAGCTAAATCAGGAACAGATACTTTCAGGATATTTTGCTCCCAGTGTAGCTTTTACTAACTAAATAGCAAATGCTAGAGCCATCAGGTGATAATAAGGAGTCTTGGCAATTTAGAAAATGTGAGACACTGAAATCAGCAGGTTGTTCCTACCCCATGCCTGGCATCGTGGATTACTCTCTGAGTGAAAGATGTGCAGACTCCTAGAGCATTAATGAAGGTAAGAATAAAGATGAAAAGACAGCAGTGGTTTCCTGTGACTCCACCACCAAAGGCTTTAGCAACCCCATCAAGATAAAGGAAGCCGTAACTCTTCCATTATGTTCCTGGCCATTTTGTACCCATATTCACATACCTATTATGTTCAAGTGGATTGACAGCTGTGACTCTTATCCTGCATTACATTGCAGGGTACCTCCCTATAAGCAGCAGGACCATAGATAACACCCTACTTTTTCTCAACATACTTTGATCCACAAAATGAGAGTAATAGCTGATTAATTTTCTTAACCAAATAAAGGAACAAGAGAGTAACCCAATTCTATAGGACTTAGGTTAGTCAGGAAAGCTGTTTGCCACCAAATTTCTCCCAGATGCAAAGCAAGGAATTTCATCCTATTCTGAAAGCCAGTTAGATCATTAATTTCCCTTAAAAATAACCTATATTTGCAATGAGGCAGCTGTTATTCTTTCTTCTATGTTTCCGTGCACCTTGGACTACCTCTGTTCTAACATTTACTGCCTCGTAATTTTCATTTGCATGTCTTTCTTTCCTCCGTGAAGAGATATGACTCTGTATTTATCTTTGTATCTTCAGCCCCTAGTATGGTTCATGTTAACCCTAGAGTTCAAGAACTCTTTGGTGAAGCTGTGATGAATGAATGAATGATGGACATTTAAAAACTAATATGTTTCAACCAGATAATAATAATGGTTATTATCTGAGCATCTGGTGCCACTAAATTGTGAAACATTGCTACATGCATACATTATCTCATTTAATTCTCTCACAAAAAACCCTATGGCATAGGTATTATTGCTCTTCCTTCATTGATGAGAAAATTGAGATTTGAGGGTGTTAATTTCACAGAGTCATATAAGGAGTAAGCCTCATTATCAAGAATTTGAACTCTCCTAGTCTGACTCCTAAGTTTGTACCTTACCAACTCAGTTATATTGCCTTTGTTTTATTTTACGTCTTCCTAAGAGATATTACAGGTGATTTCCAAACAGCTGTATTTATTGTCAGCCTTTGTGATTGAAACAATTATTAGTTTCAGAACCTCACAGATACACAGGTTTATTTAAAAACATGTTCTATTGTTTCATTAACAGTTATGTTTCCTGGGAGAAAAGCAGCCTCATATACTAAATCCTTTCTGTAAATACCTTATGGGGGGACAGTACTTCACATAATAGATATAATGCCACAAACGTGTATCTCTAAATAAAATTTTACAACATTCAGCAATTATCTAAATTTATCATTTGAAGGAAAACTGTTGTAAAATCTTTTGTAGAGTACCCATTTCCTCTATCCCATCTTTTCTGAAAGTTTTGTATTACTATGTCAGGTTTTCTTGTAACAGGACATACCGGTACAGAATATACTACTTAAAATAAGTTGTTTTAATTATTTTAAAAATCTTGTGACAATATTTAGGAATTAAAATGACAATTTTAGTAATTTTGTTTTGCCAATATGGTCATGGGAGAGCAGCCTAGGGCAAATTTTCTTTTAGAGGGTAGTTCTAATAATTACTCCAGTAATGAATGATTTGCTACCCAGACAGGCCATGTAGCTTCTAAATATATCTGGCTACCACCCAAAACACCATCTTGGCTGTCAAGAACAATCACCACAGCTGAATACACCAAAAATTATAATGAAAAAAATAATTAAGTTAAGAATAATAGTATATGATATTAGTTCAATCTTTACTATTAGGTTTTATGCTTAACAAGAGGAAGACAAAGCTGAAGTCAAGGATTTATGTTACTTCAATTGGGTTCTAACTTTGACATTCATCATAATGAATGCATAAAAATTAAGTGCTTGGGTTGCATTTTAGAATCAACAACTAGTAAGAAACATATGTTGGAGAATCAGAACCTGAACTAGAATCTAAGAAGAACCTTTTTTCCCTCAAGTAAGAAAAAAATATATTTGCATTTTGGAAGAAAATAAGAAATGTGGATTACGTGTGTCAAATATTGCCTGCTATACAAACTTCAGAAGATAGGTATGCAAGGCAAGCCTTAGTGTGCAGTCTGAAAAAAGTATGCCATGAAAGGTGTCAGGGCCTTCTGCCTGGAGCTAGTTCTGCATAGTTTCCAAATGGTATTTTTATCTTGTAATTATGTGAAAAGTCACATTGACAGAAATCCACTAGCACATGTGACAGAATTACATTCTTCTCTGGCCATTCCTGAAATAATGTGTGAGTTTTAAAATATATGACAGTACAGAGAGGTCAAATCCTAGAAAGGACTCCATTTTCTACTAGAGCAAAAGATAATGGTGGTGGTGGTGGAATACCGTATAATAAATTAGATGGGAGCCCTACATTGTCTTTCTTCTGGCTCCCCTATCTGCTGTAAAAAACCAAGTTGACTTAACTGAGTGATACAGTAACTATTGGTTTAGTCACCTCAGAATGATGAAATGTTTATATTAGATTACGAGATTTAATTTAAAGTCTTCACAAAGCATTTTTTTACAAAGCATTTTGATACATATATGTTACATATTATATAATCTCTCCAAATTATTTATTAGTCAAAAACAAATGACAAATCAAAACTGCTTTTCTATCTCAAGAGAAAATGTCTGATGTTTTCATAATGAAATCCAACCAAAAGAAAGAAATCAGAGGGATTCAATGCAATCACCATAACTCTATGAACTGAAATAAAACTGGTCTCCTGAGAAATTCAATGGTTAGAGGCAAAATCTTTACTTCTTTCATTGAGTTAGGTAAGTTTTTTAAAATCTTGTAATAATTATTCTTCTAAATTATGGATCTCTTTAAGAGCCAAGACTATCTTATTAAAATTGATCCCCAGGAGTTTGCTCAGTATTTAGCACATAGCAGATACACATTAAATGTCTGTTGAATAGGTGAATGGATAAATAAATGCTGCTTAGACAAAACACCCACACCATTATCCTTTCAAACAACATCCATTATGGTGTTTTTCTCCACTGCCCTTTGTAAATAGCTTTTTCATCACTGCCTTTTAATTCAATGAAACAGTCTTTTTTTAGCAGCCATAATCTTCTATTTGCTAATTGCTTTTTAAGTGCTAGGGACACTGTGTGTGTCTCATTTAATCCTCAATACAACCTGGTAAAGTAGAAATGTGGGACTCATAAAGGTAAAAATTTAGCTAAGAAGTCTGCCTCCATTAAACACTTCAGGGGATAGGTGAGTGAGATCCATGTACACCTTCAAGGAATTTACAGACTGGTTTCACAGAGCAAAGTAAAACATCTGAAATGCAAAGTAGAAGTGATCAGAGCTATAAGAAGAGAAACATTATTTTTAAACCACTAGAGGGTTTCAAATAAAGGATGAATCATGTTCAACTGAGTTGGAATAAGAAATGACTTATAAAAGAAGGTAAACTTGTCCCTTAGATGGGTAACTGGAATGGCTGCCTTGGGCTTCATACTTGGTGAGGTGGGAGAGGGTGGAAGAGGGAAGCATGCTGCATCTCACTCTTTCCTGAATAGCAGTACATTTCAATGTCAGAATTTCTATCTTTACAAGAAAGATGCAAACAGATCTCCTACCTTGAGAACTTCCACTTCTTCAAATTGTTGAATCTCTTTGACCCTAACTCTACACCTTCCAGAGACAAACCTTAGGGCTGACACTTGAATAGATCTTAAAGGACATGTAGAATTTTGAAAGACAGATTTAGGAGGAAAGAGTTCCCTGTTGAAATTAATAAAGGTACAGAAACAGGAAAGATTGGGGTTCCACTTAATTAGAATAAAGGCCATCTGCAAGAATTCATCTTATTCAATTAGAATAAGGGCTATAGGCAAGTGCAGGGTTATAGGCAACTAGAGAGGAAAGACTGTAAATGTAGACTACGGCCATACTGTAAAGGCCCTTAAATATTTGACTAAGGGGTAATTGTGTTTTGTAAACTACAAATGCTTCACAAACATTAGAGTTATTAACTAACACATATTGGTTGAGTGAACAAATAAATGAGATTCTTCCTAAAAAGATAATTTATACCTTTTGTTTAAAAAAAAAATAAGCAACATTCCATACTCTTATTTATTGTTGTGGTTCTCAACCAAGGAGAGCATAAGAGGGGAGAGAAAGGGTGTGTGTCACAGAGATAAGATGTAAGGAACTTATGCAAATTTTTCACATTTCTCCTGGTTTGGGAACCACTGTTTTAGTGATTATAGATTTAAAAAAAAGAGACACAGAGACCTAAACAGAGTAGTACACCATCAGTACCTGCATTTCTTCAGCTCCTGTTCTCTCTCACAAGTCACCAATATCCTCCTGTTAGACATTATTACTTGCCTATTATCAATTAAAAAAAACTGTATTTGTGACTCCAATCTTCCACCTATGCTTCAGATTATTATTTCTGGCTGCCTATTATAACTTACTAGTGTATCCTTCAGGCATCTCAGACTTAATATGTCTAACCCTGAACTCATTTTCTTCTCCCTCCCTTGCCTATCTCCACCCCTACATGGATCTACCTGCCCCAACCTACTCTAGCCCTGTATTCTAAATCTTTGCGAGTAATGTCACTAGCTATTCACTTTCATAAACTAGAAACCTTAAAATCTTCCTCAGTTTCTGTTTATCCCTCAACAATGCATTCTACCTACTCACCCAGATGGTCTCCAAATCCTATCAATCCAATCTAAAAAAAAAAAAAGTTTTTCACATCCAACTTTTTCTCCCATTCCTACATATATTGTATTGGTCCAATTCCTCATTCTCTGTCATTTCTTTGGTTTTCTTGCCATCAGTCTCTTCCTACTCTAGTCTATTTCACACAATACCACCAAAGTAACATTCAAAATTAAATTATAACCATGTCATAATTCTGGTTTTTTTTTAATGTTTTACTTCTTATGATTCTTTATACCCATAAGATAAAATTCAACTTCTTGGTTAGGCCTATCCACAATCGGCTCCAAACCTAACACTACAGCTTTTTTTCTACCTCATCAGCTTCAGCTGGTTTCCACTCAATGTACACTCTAGACACACTAAACTTCTCATTCCCCAAATAGGCCGTGCCCTTTCACATATGATCCCCACAGCCTTCAGGTCAAATCCATAAGTGCTTATTTGGGCATCTACTATGTACCAGACACTGGGAGCCTAGGAAACAAAAATAAGAAGATAAAGATCCTTCTGTCAGTGACTTCAGAGTCTAGTAATAAGAGAGACAGGCACATAAACAAATAATAATGATGTACTGTGATACACACAAAACAGAAATATATACAAAGAACAGAGGCAGCATAGAGGATAGAGTAGTTAACTGGAGGGTGTGGGACAAGGAAGCATATAAAAGTAAAGGCAATGCAGGCACAGCCAGGAGCACTGAGGCATGAGAGAGCTTCACATTTTCAGGAAGCAGGAAGAGCTTCCACATACAATGCAGAAACATAAAATGCAATGGAGAGGAACTGTACACTTAAAATGGTTAAGATGTTTAAGTCTTTCAGCTATTTTGAGTTTATTTTTGTGTATGGTGTGAATTTATGGTGAAAAAGCACATGAAAACAAATACATGTATATTCATGTATGACTGAAGCATTGTGCTGTACACCAGAAATTGAAACAACATTGTAAACTGACTATACTTCAATTAAAAATATATATTTAAAAAATGGTTAAGATGGTAAATTTTATGGTATGTGTTTTTTTACCACAATTACATTTTTTAAAATTATTTAAAAGAAATTCAACTGGCAAATAAAGTTAAAAAAAAAAAGGGAGTGGGGGACGGTATAGCTCAAGTGGTAGAGCACATACTTAGCATACACAAGGTCCTGGGTTCAATCCCCAGTACCTCCTCCAAAATTACCTCCCCCCACCAAAAATAAATAAATAAATAAATAAATAAAATTTAAAAAAAAGAAATTCAATGGGGAGAGTATCTAAAGACAGGCTAGAATAAGCAACTGCATATCTTCCCCTCCTTTTCAACTTGTAAACTCCTACTCATCTTTCAGGATAAGCTCTGTGGGTGAAGAACTTTGTGAAGTACTATCGTATTCAGTATTTGTAGGATGTGAGTGTTGTGACTGTGGTCTTAGCAAGAAGCATCTCACTAAATTTGACTGTGAGCATAATTAGCAGTTGGCGTTCAGTGTGGGAAGGATTTTGATTGATTTGTTGGGCTGAGTTTTAGGCATTGTGGACATGGACAACATATATCATTGAGTTCATCCATCTTGTATAGCTATTTTTATATGTACCTAATATTTCAGCAATATTAATGTCCAGTGTACATCATGGCCTCTGAATAAGTAAGAAAGCAATTCCTTGATGAAGATGAGATTTAAAGGAGGAAAAAGAATACCAGATCAAAAAAGCATTTCCTGAAGGGTCCAGGAACACTAATTCTTGGAGAAATTAGTAGGATTGGGAGTAAAAAGTGAGTAGCCAAGTGAAATAAATTTGGTAAATACAGAAATAGGCATGTGCAGATTGTCCTTATTTTACAGCTCATCAGAATGACCCTCCTTTGTGAATCCTATGTGATTCCATCAGCCTGTGCTCTCTTCCTCTGTGCTCTTATAAACCTCTAATCACGGTATATGGAAATTTTTTGTTTATTTCTCTCTTTCCCTCACAAGCTATGAGTTCCTCATGAACTGACACCATAACTTATGCAAGCAGACACCTTACACCTCTACAAGAATTAGCTATTGAATTCATTAGTTAATTCACTATTAATTAACCATGTGCCGGACACTACAATAAGTGCTTTACATACATGGTCTCCTTTCATCCTTACAACAACTGTAGGAGGCTGGATATTACTCTCTTTTCCATTTTAGAAACAACAAGACTGTGATAATGAGAGGCTGGGTATCTTGTCAAATGTCACACAGTTAGTAAATGATCCGAAGCCAGACTGAAATCAAATGAAGCTTTTAATGACAAATAAAGTAATTAATAAAATCAGTTTCCAGGGGGATAAAGGAGGGAGTGGGACCTAAAATGTTAGTTGAGAAGACTCCACAGGTAGAGTCGGCTTGGTAAGTGTCAGACTCTGTGCTATGCACGTTGCTGAAATAATTTCATTTACAATAGTTTCATCCTCATGAAGTCTTCATGAGATGTAAATACCCAAATCGAGAAACTGACGTTCAGAAAAGTTAAATTTCTTGCTCAAGATCACAGAGCTTGTGAGAGTCAAGGCCATAAAGCAAGATCAAATCCAGCTTTCTCATTTGATTCTCAGAAAGAAGAATGGAAAGATAAAGACAGAGATTTTTGAGATAGAGAAAAGATTATCTAGAGGACCTTATCAGTGAATTAAAATCTTCAGACCAAGTGGTTAGAGTGAATTAAAAAACCTGAAGAAATTTTGGGACAGCCACTGTAAGGAATTTTTTTTTAAGGTCAGGTAAAATTGAATAAATAGGGTTAATGAGTATCAGGTAGGGGACCCAGCTGAGGACCCAACTGAAGTTAGGTTACACAAATTTGCGATATACCCAAAAAGCACTTTTTTTTTTTTTTACTTTGTTCAGCTATTTTTGCTGTTCCAGGAACAAAGAAAGTGTTGGGGATTGTCAAACTGTGAGTGGTAGGCGATTGCAGGACCTGGGAGAGGGCTGAGGGGAAGAATTCAATTAATAGAAAAGACATGCAGAAATGGCTGATTATAGATTCTAATCTGAGCAACTGTCTTAGCCCATACAGGCTGCTCCAACAAAATACCATAGACCGGGTGACTTAAACAGCAAACACGTATTTCTCACAGCTCTGGAGGCTGGAAGTCTAAGATAAGTACCAGCATAGTTCGGGTCTGGTAGAGCTCTCTTCTGGGTTGCAGCCTGCCAACTTCTGTTGTTGCCTAACATCCTTCACAAAGAAGAGAGCTCTGCACTCTTCATCCCCTCATGATGACACCAATCTCATCTCCTCCAGACTGTATCCAAACTTCCCAAAGGACCCACCTCTAAACACCATCACATTGAGGATTAGGCTTCAACATACACATTGTGGGGGACACAAACATTCAGTCCACAGCACTATGCAAATGAAATCAAGCTTTCTTCCTGTATCTACCTGAACTCTCTTAGTTGTACAGGACTAGAGAACCTACCAATCGTTTTATCTGGTGTCACTATAAATTCATGACTACTAACCTCAAAAGGTGGCCTCCATGTGGCCTGACGATTATACTTCTTCCACTCCCACTCTTCACCGCTCTCACCTGATGACCTCACTTTCTATTTCATCCAGAAAATATAAGCAATCAGAAGAAAAATCCCACCAGCTCCTACCACTGCTTTTATCCACTTCCCTGTGTCTCTGTCCACATGCTCTAGCCTCCATCCTGTTACTATGAACTAATCACCCTCCTACCCAAGGCCAACACCTCCTCTTCTACACCAGATCCCATCCTTTCTTCCTTACTCATGTATCCCTTTAAAAATTCTCCCATCTCTCTTTTAGTCATTAATTTTTCTCTTTCTACTGGATCATTTCCATTAACATAAAGTATTGAACATGCTGTAATAGATCCCATCTTAAAACAGACAAGACAAAGACTCAAACCTTCACATCAGGTCATCTCCCTATTCAGTTTTAGCTACCACCACACTTCCGTGCCCTTACAGAAAAGCTCCTCAACAGAGCTATCTGTTCTCGTGCTCAGCTCCTCTCCTCTCACTCTCTCCTGAGTTTTCTTCAGTGAGGCTCGCCACTCACTATTACACTGAAAGTATTCCTGCCAAGGACATCAATGGCCTTCATGTTGTCTAGTGCAATAGTTCATCCTGTTCCTCATCTTCTTGGACCTATCAGCATTTAACATAGTTGATGTTGTCCACCTCCTTGAAATTTTCGTTGTTTGGCTTCCAGAACACCACACACTCATGATTTTTTTCCTTCCTCACTAACTGCTCCTTCTTTTTTTTCTTTGCTGATTCATTCTCATCACCCCAAACAAAAGCCATTCATATTTAATGCCCTTAATTTTAAAATAAAGTCTGTGGTTCATTTGCAGCAGATGTGCTTTTCTAATGATATCTTCTTATCTCTAATTTAATTAGGTTTTATTCTCTGAGCACAACAAGTGGGTACAGGAGGAGCCTCAGAGATATGCTGTGTGGTGAAGGAAAGTCAGTGTGGGATTGCTGGGCTTAATCTCCACAGATAATCTAGTCACTCATCAGTCCTTGTGTGTCTTCTCTGTTGTAGTGTGTTCCTGTCATCCAGTTGGATCAGCTGTCCTTCCTTTCAGCTCAGTGACCTTCTGTGACCCCAGCAATGGTGACTGCCCTTGCAAGCCTGGGGTGGCAGGGCCACACTGTGACAGGTGTATGGTGGGATACTGGGGCTTCGGAGACTACGGCTGCAGGCCCTGTGACTGTGCGGGGAGCTGCGACCCTCTCACAGGAGACTGCATTAGCAGGTGAATGTGCATGGCTCTTGCTCTTATCTATGTGTCTTTCAGATTCTTTTGAAGATCTGGTAGTGATTTGCAAAACCTTGCATGCCACTAGTGGAGCAAAGATGTATCTACACATCTCTTCAAAGAATTTTTGTCAAATTGCAGGGTCAAGTTATTTGTTCTTGCAAGATTCTAGAGATGGTCTGGCTCACTTTGCAAAATAAATGATTCTTTTTAACAGTAGGCCCTTACAACACTCTTTATTTCTGAAAAGTGAAAAAATTGGAATGTAGCTGATAAGGCTTAAATCTCTATAAGTATATTCATTTCATTCAAGTTCTAAGAAATCCTTAATAAGTTTTTCATCATTTTCTACTTTATTAGCAGCACAGACATAGACTGGTATCATGAAATTCCTGACTTCCATTCCATACACAATAAGAGTGAACCAACCTGGGAGTGGGAGGATGAGCAAGGATTTTCGGCACTTCGACATTCAGGTGAGATGATAGAACCAGGTATCATATTTCCACTGTCTGGTCTTCAGTAATGGTGATTCACAACAAACCAGAGAACAGATTTTGGATCTTATAAGAACTCTTTAGTTCTGAGGTTAACAAAGTAGTGATTCCGCATAAGTATAAAACTGTTAAATATAGCTAAAAGAGTATTTTAACAAGCTTTTCTTTATTTTCTGATCATTAGAGTAACATATAATTAGTATAGAAAATTTGGAAAATGCAAAACATCACAGTTAAAAATATACCCAAATCTCGTTGTTTCCACTCTTAATACTTTGGTGTGTTTCCCTGTCTCTAAAGCATAATGTTTTACACAGATGAGAGCTAACTCTATGGGAATGTACAGATACATTTAAAGGAAAAATATTCTTACAGACCTAGTGTAACTCAATATGTACAATGCAAAAGTTAGCTGTGAACACCTTATATTTAGCTTTTTTACACTAGAAAACAAAAATAATTTTACAAACAAATATAAGTCGAAAACTAGTAAATTTCAAATTAATAATATTAATTGAATATAAAAAATTATTTTTACTGAAGCCAAAACACTGTTTACTACATAAATATGGTTCTTTGAGGTTACCTGGTCTATAGTACAATTTCTTCTGATTCAATTTTCCTGTGATATTTCTCTGTTTCATCATTTGAGGAGAATGCTGTGATATTGGTGTGGATACATAATTTCTATGTTCAGCCTTCCTCTATTCTTCTCTCACAGAAAATCAAGTAGTTTTATTTAGCACCAGCTTACTCTTAGCACAAACACAAATGTGGGCATGAAATCTTAGTGTCAGCATCTTGTTGTAAAATCCTCACCAAATCATCCAAATTAAACTTACAGTAAGTTTTAAAATATTCCTTATTATTAAACATTACAAATGCCAAAAATATGATATGGACACCCATATCATATGTTCTAATGTTATCAAATCTTATGTTTCAAATCTTGGGTTTTGCTATAATTGTCTCATATTTTCACTTAAATTATAAGATGTTATAGATACATTTGAAGCCCCTGGTATACCAGTCTACAAACTCACTAGCCTCCCTTACTCCACAGAATAACCACTAACCTGAATTTTGGTGCTCATCATTCATTTTCATATTTTTACTATTTTACTATATATATACACTAAAGAGTTTATAATTTATATATTTACATAATGCTTTAAGTTCTTTTAAAATTTTTGGTGGGGGGAGGTAATTAGGCTTTTTAGAGGAGGTACTGGGGATTGACCCACGACCTTGTGTATGCTGAGAATGTGCTCTACCACTTGAGCTATACCCTCCCCCTTATATAATGTTTTTAAAATCTCATGCACATGATAACTTACCTACCTTTTTAAAATTTTTTGACTTAAATACGTACTTTTTTTTTACATTTATCCATTTTATTATAGAATACGAGATTTCTTATTCTCACATTGTTTGCCATTTAGGTTATTTCCAATCTCCAATTTTCCACTATTATATATAATGCTACCATGAATGTTCTCTTACATGTGACTTTGTATACTTGAGGAGTTTCACTAGAGCAGGGGCTGGCAAACTACGGCCTCAGGCCAAATGTGGCCTGCCATCTGTTTTTCTGTAGGCTACAAGCTACCTGTTCTAAGGTTTAAATGGTTACACTTTAAATGGTTATATAAATACCTACATAAAATCTTTAATTTTGCCCCTTGGCCCACAAAGCCTGAAATATTTACCATCTGTTTCTTTTAAAACAATGTTTCCTGACCCTTGTTCTAGGGCATAACCTACTGTGACCTACTGTTGGGTCACAAGTGTTCTTATTGTCAAATTTACCACTTATTACCAAATAGCTCTCTCATGTGGTTGTAGAAATTTGCATTTCATCAGCAAAAAATGGCATCCTGTTGCTCTACATCCTCACTAATACTTTGTGTTTACTTAACAAATGTTTATATAGCACATACAAGGGGCCAAACACTATTTTAACTTACTAACTCAGGCAGTTTAACTTACTTACTGTCTATTGGACTTCTAAAATTAATGTCATCAAACCTCGAAGTTTTTGCCAATCTGATGGATATGAAATGAGATCTTACCATTTTTAAGTTGCATTTTCCTAATTAGTAATTTTTTACAGTTTCTTGGCCATTCAGGTTTCCTTTTCTGTGAATTTCCTATTTAATTTTCTTACTAGTTTGTAGGAGTTCTTTATGAATTCATTCATCTAACAAATATTTATTGAGTACCCATACTATGTGCCAGTGCTGTAAATTTAGTAATTGAACAGACAAAAATCCCAGCCTCCAAAGAGCTTACATTCATGTACAGGAAGACAGTTAAGAAACAAGCGAAGTATTTAATGATGTTTAGTATAATGGAGAAATAAAGCAGAGGATAACAAGTGCTTGAGACAGACATACTTTTAAATGGGGTGATAAGAAAAGTCCTATGAAAGGATTTTTGAGAAAAAACTCTGAAAATGGTAAGGGAGTGAGCAATACAGCTAACAGAGGAGAATTTAGGCAGAAGATACAGCAAGTGCAAAAGCCCTGTGGTGAGACTAGGCCTGGCTTATTCAGGAAACAGCAAGGCCAGAGTGGCTGGAACAGAGTAAGAAACCATAATTTTAATACATTCTCACCAAGAACTTATGGATCTTTCAAGAATCAAGAACTCAAATTTGAGGAACACTGGTATTGCAGTTCTGTATCATGGTTTCTTCACTTAATCTTATGATCATTTTCCTAATGGTTTCAGTTAAATTTGCAACAGGAAAAGAGGTGGGAAAGATAAGGTAATATGAAGTTGTTGTATTTATCTTTTTAGCATATGAAAAAGAAGACTCTTTCCCATTAATTTTGCGCCTTAATGCTACAGAGTCTGAATTCTATGATGTTAACTTTAATAACCACTTTTGGAAGATTTCTTCTATTTTTCTAACACAACAGTTTTCAGAATTCTCTAACTTTGTCTACAAAGCCAAATCGGTAAAAAAGCAAAGTTCTAGTACCATAGAACTTTCATTAAGCCAATCATCATGTTTGTAGGGAGCTGGCAGCACACCAATGAAGAACATAACGTGCTGCCATCAGTCCTACTCCAGCCTCTCACATCCACGGCAGCTGTTAGGTCTATCGTGTCCCCAGAGAGTCTCTGAAATTCATCTAGATGAGCTCTGGACTGAGGAAGACGTTATTCAGTTTCCTGCTAAACAGCAATATTCCAATTGGGTATAGATTAGTACCCCTGGGCACTTTCTTTAACAAAAAATGTGATAATCTGTTTTCTAAGCACTGTGGTTCATTTTCAAATCTATGTACCTACCTACCTATTTACCTGCCATAAGTTTCCATAACTAGAAGTATAATGCACTATACCAAGACACTCTTAATTTCTACCACTTCTTGTGGGGTAGAGAACATCCGATGTAAAATTTCACTTCCTCTACAACAAAACTGGCTTCAGCTATTACCACAGAATTGTAAACAATGCTTCTCTCTCTTTTTTTTTTTGAAATATTCTAATAACCCAGTAAAACTAAACAGATTTTCATCGCCTTCCAGATTTCTTTTAAGAAAACACATCTGGGCTGAAGCCTAATCAACAAAGATTTATTCAAAAGCAAATTTTAATGACTGATTTCTTAACATATGAAAAGGGAGCATTGGAAAGCAGCCAAGGAAAGATCTTCAAATAACAGACCTATTCATGTTCTCATAGACTGAAGGACTAAAGAGAAGAACATCATGTTGTGGAATAAGATCTGCCATTTGGAGTTCCATTAAGCTTTTTTTTAATTAAAGTTTAGCTGGTTTACAATGTTGTGTTATTTTCTGGTGTACAGCATAGTGATTTAGTTACATATATATACATATAATATATTCCTTTTCATATTCTTTTTCATTATAGGCTATTACAAGGTATTGAATATAATTCCCTGTACTATACAGTAGGACCTTGTTGTTTATCTATAATAATATCTGCAAATTCCAAACATTAGGTTTCATACCATGGTAGTTACCATACTCTCCTGCTTTGGTGGAATCATGAAAGGCTGAGGGATATTCACTTAGGTTACAACAATTTCCAAATGAGAAATCCTCTGCTTTGTTTAGATGGTAAGCAGTATTACTGAACAAATCACAACAACTCACTTTAAGCACCTTTGATGTATCTTTCTTACTTTTTAATTCCCCTGGGAGTTTCCACTTGCAAATCTCATTCTCTGAGGATGATTCTCAGGAAACTTTAGGTTGAGTCAATATGTCAATAGTTTCCACATCACTATGTCCCTCTACCTGATCTCACCAGAATCATACTCATTTCCACTCAAATATTTGTTAGCATCTCTAATTCATTATATTCTCCTTGTACTAGAGCTCTGTTGTTTTTTTTTGCCTGATCAGATCCATTTCCCCTTTTTTCCTGCTATTTCTGTGGTAGCTCAATCCAATTCTTCTTTGGGGAACCACTCTTCCCCCACTTAATACAGTCTTGGAGATGCAATCAGATGCTCTCCCCCTGGAATTTAAACCTTGAGCTGAACATGACAAAGTCTGAAAATGATTAGAGTTCGTGACTCCAATGGCAAAATCATAAAAGAGACTCTGGAGCGCTCTCGCTTTTTGTCCTTTCAGAGTTCTGGTTCTTTGGCTTTTTCGCCTATGAGCTACTCAGTATCTTTTCAATAATTAAGTTAGACAATTACTACCTTAAAAACCTTAAATTATACACCCCTAAAATGCTCTACTTCTCCTAACTTCCCAATTTCTGTTAGTGAAACTACAATCCTCTCTGTCACCTTGGCTTCAGGTACATTTTTATGCTTCCTCTTCCCTTGCCCTTATCCAATTCATTGACAGGATTTGTAGACCCTAACTCTGCAGCATCCCTTGATATGTCTTCCTATCTACACCATGACCACCTCTCAGACCCACATTCCATCAGCCTTAGAAAGACAGTAGAGTGGAAAGATCAGAGGCTTCAGATTCTTTCAAACCGAGGCTTAAAATCTGGCTTTTCTACTTGTCAGCTATGCTGCCATGGACAAGCTAATTAACTTCTCTGAGCCTTCATTCTTTTCATTTATTAATAATACCTATTTGATAAGCTTATTATAAATATTAAATAAAATCACATGGATAAAATTCCTTACAAAGTTTATGGCTTATAGTTGGTACTCAATTTAGTTAACTGTGTTACCAGTTTCACTAGCCTCTAACGGGTCCTTGCCTCCATTTTTTTTCCATTCCATTAGTTTTGGTACAGTAATGCCTGATTAATTTTCATATATACACACACACACACACACACATATATATATGTAATATATATATATACATATTATTTCATATATATATATGATTTTTTAAATTCATGTAACTTCTTTTAGCTGATAGCTTTGAAAATCCCCCTTTATCTAACATATTAAATTCAGGCCCAAACTGCTTATCAACTAGGGTCCTCCATGATACCTTCCACTATTCTCAACTCAGTCTGTATCCAGGATAAACAGAGTGACTGAATATTCCATGAACACATCTGCCCTTTCTCTCTTACATTTCTGTGCTCATACTTTTATCTCTGTATTCCTGCAAATTTCTACTTGTTAAAATCTTAGAAGAGTAAATAAATGTAAAACACTTAAAACAGGGTCTGGTACATAGTGAGTGCTCCTCAGTGAAAGTTACCTACTGCTATCCCACTCAATGCTTATAAAATGCAATGTGTGAAGGCAGGAGAAGAGGGGTTAGAGAAGGGCTAAAATTATATCTAATTATTAAATCAGTAAGACTGAAAATGCTATCTATTCTGGGCTCTAAGAATATAAAGATGAATAAAACATAACCATTGTCCTCAAGGATCACAGTCTGGAGAGGAAACAGATACATAAATAAGTATAAGGTTGCTGTTATAGACTATGTACAAAGGCGTTCTGAAAGTCTTCCACAAGGGTCTGGCAAATCTTTCATATGTAATAATTATAGTACATAATTTTAACTGCTGGGAGAAAATATCCTAATTATTCAAAGTCCATTTCAATCAGCCATGAAGCCTTTTTTCCATCTTTCCAGACATGTGGCCCTCTTACCCGAGCATATTGTACCTGTCCTAGAAAACTTATCACTGTTTACACACTTGCTTTATTCACTTTACTGAATTATAAGCCTTCAGGCTAGAATTGTATCTTGCTCATCTTTATATACCCTGAAGTACATAGATAGCACCATGTCCTGCACATAACAGGTGCTTAACAAATATTTTTAAAATTGAATATAGCATTACCTTCAAAGGATTGCTCAATTATTTTATTTTATTTAACGTTTATTATGATGAACATTAATAGTAAAAAGACAATTGTCTTTCCTATAGGGTATCCATTCAGTTGTTCCTTTCCATTAGCATGGGATATTAATACCAGACTATATTTATCATAACATCAATTATAAGCATTAAAATATATCATTGTTTCTACATTTCTGTATTTTCTTAGGTCAATACTTTATTGGATGATAACTAATTCAATTCAAAAAGATGACTCTATTTCTTTTGAGTAACTTTCCATGGTTTCTTAGTATTTATGAATTATATTGTATGAATAACTCAAGCCTTAAAGAGTTATGCCACCTGGTGTTACTTATTTCTTTTCTTTTCTTTTTTTTTCCACTTTTTTTTCTAAACAACTAACAATACTTTTCATTTACTTTCTGTAGGTAAATGTGAGTGTAAGGAACAGGTGTTAGGAAACTCCAAGGCATTCTGTGGAATGAAATATTCATATGGTGAGTTTGGAGTCCTTGAATGCTTTTAAGAATCTATTCAAACTAAGTACAAAGAGTTTTTTAGGAAATGAGTGGCCTGGTCTGTGACATTCTCAATAAATCAAAGCACTAGTCTTATATAATAATAGTAAACACAGTATTCTGGTCTTGACCTAGATTTTTCTAATAGAAATGGTGTTGAATGTTCTGTTGAGAGCAAGAGACTTTTAGAGGAAAGGCAAGGTTATCCTACTATATGGAAAAGAGGCAAACAACAAAAAGGGGGAAAAATCATGAAACATCATCTTTCTTATGGATGCTTCTTATTTTAAGTAATCTAAAAGGGAAGTCTCTAGACACTTAAATGATTCCTGTGCCAGTTTATCCTGTAGT